TTTTTTTTTTTTTTTTTTTTAAAGATTTTCTCATTTTATTGCTTATTTTAATTTCTGGGGGACAGGACATCCTGCCTTCGCCCTTTTTTCTTTTTTTTGCCCCCCACTCGTGTTAGGTGCTCGGCCCGCTCGGCGGGGGCAGCAGGTTCTTTTAAGTTTATTTTGTTGGTTGTTTTGATCTGTGCGAGACAGCGGGCTTCTTCTGTCCTTTTTCGCGGGTGTCAAGTGCTCGACGACGAGGATAAATGTGTTTTGATTTGTTATTGTTGTTTGATTATTTAATCAAATGATGATAATCAAATGATGATATCAACTGATTGTCATTAAAAAGTGATAAATCTATTTTATCGTTTATTTTGATTCGCGTGACGTAGTGAATTTCGTTCTCCTTTTTCGCGAGTGTCAAGTGCTCAACGACGATGATAAATTTGTTTTAATTTATTATTATCGTTTGATTATTTAATCAAATGATAATAATCAAATAATATCAATTGGTTATCATTAAAAATGATAGATTTATTTTATCATTTGATTTGCGTGATGCAGTGAATTTCTTTTTTCGCGAGTATCGACGACTCATTGCATTTTTTTTTTTAATTAAGATCTTAAAATTTTAGTTATGTTTAATTTAGATGAGACAGTGCAGTTTCTTTTGCTTTTTTTTTTTTTTTTGCCAGTGTTGAGTGCTTAGCCGGCCCAGCGTCACGTTCTCTCAAATTTTTTTCATTGCTTGTAAAATAAACTTTAATTTATATGAGACAGTAAAATAAAGTAAATTTTAATTTGTATAAGACAATTTCTTTTTTTTTTTTTTTTTTTTTTTGTTTCATAAAATTCCTGAATCCTGAGACAGTCAATTTCTTTTTCCTTTTTCAGGAGTACTAAGTACTCAACGTGCCTAAATTTATTTTATTATTTGATTTATGTGACATAGTAAAGTTTCTCTCTACGCGAGTATTGACGACTCAAGGCATTCTTTTTAATTAAAATTTTAAAATTTTACTTTTTTGGTTAAGACAAGACGGTGCGTTTCTTTTGCTTTTTTTCCACTAGTGTTAGGTGCTTTGCCGGCTCAGCCTCACGTTTTGTTTTTTTTTTCCCAGATTAGATTTTTTTTTCAATTTATTTATTTTTATTTGTATAACACACTAAATTTCCTTTTCTTTTGTCTCAGGTATTAGGTACTTAACTGGCTCGTTATACTTTTTTTTTTATTTAATTGAATTTTTGAAGTTTTACTTGTCATTTATTTTAATTCAGATGAGATGGGACGTTTCTGCTGTTTTCCACCAGTATTAAGTACGTATGTAGCTGACTCATGGTTATGCCCTTTTTTAAAATTTAATTTTCACAATTTATCATTTATTTTAACGTGTGTAATATAGGAAATTTCTTTTCCTTTTTCCCCGAGCATTAAGTGCTTAAGTCACTCACCGTTACTCGTTTTTAAATTTCTTTTATTATTTGTTTTAATTTATGTGATGCAGTAAACTTCTTTTGTATTTTTCACTGGTATTAACTGCTTGACGGAATCACCGTTACGCTTTTCTAAATTTCATTTTTTAAATTTACTTTATCATTTAATTGATGTGAGATAGGCAATTTCTTTTCCCTTTTTCCATGAGTATTAACTACTTGACTGACTCACCGTTACTTTTTTTGATTGAAATTTTAACGTTTTCTTATTTAATTTGCACAATATAGTAAATTTCTCTCTTTTTTTTTCCCACTAGTATTAAGTACTGAACTGACTCATCCTTAACGTTTGTTTTTTTTTTTCAATTTATTTTTTTATTTGTTTTATATAATATAGTAAATTTATTTTGCTTTTTTCACAATAAGTACTGAAGTAAGTCATCCTTATGTTTGTTTTTTTCAGTTTATTTTATTTATTTTATATAATATAGTAAATTTATTTCGCTTTTTTCAGTAGTATTTACTGAACTGACTCATCCTTAACGTTTTTTTTTTGCAGTTTATTTTATATGATATAGTAAATTTATTTTGCTTTTTTCACTAGTATTAAGTACTGAACTGACTCATCCTTACGTTTGTTTTTTTCAATTTATTTTATTTATTTTATATAATATAGTAAGTTTATCTTGCTTTTTTCGCTAGTATTTACTGAACTGACTCATCCTTAACGTTTGTTTTTTTTTCAATTTATTTCATTTATTTTATATAACATAGTAAATTTATTTTGCTTTTTTCACTAGTATTAAGTACTGAACTGACTGATTCTTGACGTTTGTTTTTTTTCAATCTATTTTATATGATATAGTAAATTTATTTTGCTTTTTTCAGTAGTATTTACTGAACTGACTCATCCTTAACGTTTGTTTTTTTTCAATTTATTTTATATGATATAGTAAATTTATTTTGCTTTTTTCACTAGTATTAAGTACTGAACCGACTCATCCTTACGTTTGTTTTTTTCAATTTGTTTTATTTATTTTATATAATATAGTAAGTTTATCTTGCTTTTTTCACTAGTATTTACTGAACTGACTAATCCTTACGTTTGTTTTTTTTTTTCAATTTATTTCATTTATTTTATATAATATAGTAAATTTATCTTGCTTTTTTCACTAGTATTAAGTACTTAAACTCACTCATCGTTAGGGTTTTTTAAACACAGATTTTTCTTTTTTTATTTTTGGAGACAGAGTCTCGCTCTGTGGCCCGGGCTAGAGTGAGCGCCGTGGCGTCAGCCTCGCTCACGGCGGCCTCCAACTCCTGGCCTCCAGCGAGCCTCCCGCCTCGGCCTCCCTCCCGAGTAGCTGGGACTACAGGCGTGCGCCTCCACGCCCGGCTCGTTTTTTCTTCTATATAATTTTTTTTGTCGTCCAGCTCGTTTCTTTTCTTTTTTTCTTTCTTTTTTTTTTTGGTAGAGACGGGGTCTCGCTCTTGTGCTCAGGCTGGCCTCCAACTCCTGACCTCAACCTCGATCCTCCCGCCTCAGCCTCTACCTGAGTAGCTGGGACGACAGACATGCGCCACCACGCCCGGCTCATTTTTTTAATATGTATTTGTAGTTGTCCAGCTAATGTCTTTCTATTTTTTTAGTAGAGACGGGGTCTCGCTCTTGTTGAGGCTGGCCTCAACTGCTGACCTCAAGCAGTCCTCCTGCCTCGACCTCCCTCCCGAGTAGCTGGGACGACAGGCACGCGCCTCCACGCCCGGCTCGTTTTTTTTGTATATATTTTTAGTTGTCCAGCTCGTTTCTTTCTATTTTTTTAAGTGGAGACGGGGTCTCGCTCTTGCTCAGGCTGGCCTCAACCGCCTGACCTCCAGCGATCCTCCCGCCTCGGCCTCCCAGAGTGCTGGGATGACGTGTGTGAGCCTCCGCGCCCGGCCTGGGTTTTACGGCCAAATCAATGGGGCGGCGTCTTGGTTCTCAGCAAAGCTCTCTCGGCCATTTCTGCAGGGAAACGGAGTCCCAGAGGGAAGGTGAGGAGGCCCAAACCGACTTAGGACGGGGTGGAGGCCGCAAGGCCTCGCTGTGGAGTGTGTGGCCTCCAGTCCTCGTCCCTTCCCGTCCCCGGACCTCGCTTTGCCCGTCTGTGACATGGGTAGTGGCGTCGCCGAGAATGACCACAGGACTTGCAAAAGCCACCAGGGACGGGTAGGGGACCCGGGGGACCAAGACTGAAGGCCAGCCTCCCCACCCGGCCTT